GAGCTGTGGAACTAATGCTTCTCTTTGCATTTGGATTCCTGGGATACTTCTTGATGCTGGTTCCCAGTTCATAATTTTATACATATATTTTTTCTATCACAATATCTCTGCATTTTGAACAGCTATTTAAAATTTGTTTTTTGCATTTATGATTAAACAGTTGACTAGCTTAAGTCCAATGAGAATGTGATTGAGGCCAACTTTTTGCTGCTTTTAGCATGCTTAATAATTTCCATCTCTGGCTTACTTGAATAGTCATAAGTATTAGCATTTTATTTTTCTGCTTTCCACTCATTTTTACAAAGTGGTTTCAAACAAAATATTCACATCATTGCATCAACCAGTATTTTTTTTTTTTTGGATAATAAAACAGTTCAGACAGAACAGAAACAATGACTGACAATGACTTCCTAAAAAGTATGGAGTAGATTTGTAAGTTTGAAGAATCCCACTTGATTTTTAAGATGAATACTTTTCCATTTTAAGTCTACTCTCTTTACTATTATGTTTAACCTACTTGAAATATATAGATTCAAGCCTTTCCAGGTCCCCAACACACAGATGAAAATATTTGGACAAGCACAATTTTGGTTCACTCTCCGTCATGTGCTAGAGGTCACATGAGAGAATAAGGTAATTGGAAGTTGGTTTTCCATCAAATAACCTTTTTTTCCCCTTGTTTTTAAGACAGAAGGGAAGGGTGAGAGAGAGAGAGAAACATCAATGTGTGGTTGCCTCTCACATGCCCCCAACTGGGGACCTGGCCTGCAACCTAGGCATGTGCTCTGACTGGGAATCAAACCAGTGACCCTTTGGTTCACAAGCTCACACTCAATCCACTGAGCCATACCAGCCATGGCCTCAAATAACCTTTTAAAAAAGTATTTGTAAAGACATTCTGTGAGAGATTTCAAATGTGACAACTTAAAAGTATAAATGCAATATAAAAAAAATAAATTGAAGACTACAGGACATAACCTTATCAACACTCCTAATGTATTCATTAGGTGTATGTTTTAAATTTGCATGTATAAAAGTGTTCATCATGAAAATAGAGCTATAATAAGAAATGACAAAATATAAAAGCACAGAAGCTAAGAACTCAACTTCTTGAGTTCTATTCTGCCACTTGTTGCCATGTGATCTTGGGAAAGTTACTTGGCTGACTATATCTCAGTTTCCTCCTAGATAAAAAGGGAAAAATAACATCTTTTTTATTTTTCTGAACGCCCAGTGGAGTTCAGAACTAGTTATGAGATAAAAAAAAAGGAGAAGATAGATGGTGGTCAAAATATCATCTGGTAAACTTCTAAAGGCTAGAATTGAAGAGGTGGCTTAGACGTATGCAGTAATAGGCTTCCTAATATGGACCAGTCATACATCAAGTATTGCTGAACCTGCTGGTCTCTGCACACAGCAGCCTGCTCCTGTGAAACACGTGTGGGGAAGTAGGATATAATGCATATTTTCTGTGTATCACAAGTTAAAATGAGGTAGGAAAGGGCTTAGAAAGGCATTTAAGATTTTTTTCTCCTCATTATGTCAAGAAGAAAACTCACTCCTCCTTTTCTGGGGAGGAGTATGAGGGATTGGCAGGAAGTGGAAATAAGTATTATCTTAGTGAAGCTTCTTCTACAAGGAGAATATTGGAGTGGGGAGAAAGTTTTACCCCTTAACATTTCCCAGACTTTTCTTCTCTTAATCCTTTGGGCTTGACCATTGCCTGTACTCAGCCAGGCTATAGCTATCTCTCTTTAGAGAAGAGATCAGCAAAGTATCAGGATAGTCCTATTCTCATTTTCATGAGGCTATTGCCCCAATGCTATTTGTGCTCCTCTGTGAGTCTTCCTGGTATACTCCAGGTCAGCAGTGTTGCTTTTGCCCCCAGAATGCTCTGAAATAGGCCAGGTGAGTGCATTCATTAAATTGAGTTGGAGGCCACATTGTACCCTAGGATGAAAATCAATTTCTTATTTTATTTCCCAGCCCAAATTATGTCTAGCCAATTTGTCCAGTTATACATTATGTTAGTTCAATCCCCTGAGAAGCAGACACCAAAGAGAGACCAGACATGTAAGAAGTATATTAGGAGAGGGAATAGAAGACAACAAGGAGAGCCATCAAACCATGGTGCAAGTCTGACACCTGTGCAAGAGGAGGAAAAAGGGAGGAGGATGGGAAGGAAGAACCTCAGAGTGCAGTGCAGCTCCCAGAAAGGTTACACCTGGCTGATGGGGAATCCTTGAGCCAAAGTCACTTGTTAGAGGAGTTCTATGTCTCACTGGAATTGGCCTGCTTTAGTACCCTGGCCATCCTCAGTCACTGACTAGGAGCAGTGGGTGGGAAGGGTGGCCCCAGTGTGAACATGGTGATAGAGCCAGATGCTGTCAGTCCATTATGAACCCTGAGGCAGGGTGTCTGAGAAGTGCACTTTATGGCCAAAACATGTATATAATCCATCAGAGGTTCCACAGTGTTATCAAATGATACAAATACTCCAATAAAAATATACTAACAATAATATGCTTCATATCTCATGATCAAATTCCAGGGGAAAATTACAATAAAGATAAAAATTATGTCCCCTTGCAAATTATATCCAAGTAATTTAAAGTCCAAAACGATTAAAGCCCTGAATCAAATTCGCTTGACTTTATGAGCTAAAGTTTAAAAAAAATTAAAATCCAGCCCTGGCTGGTGTGGCTCAGTGAATTGAGTGCCAGCCTTGAGAACCAAAGTGTTGCTGGTTCGATTCCCAGTCTGGGCACATGCCTGGGTTGTAGGCCAGGTCTCCAGTAGGGGGTGTGTAAGAGGCAATCACACATCAATGTTTCTCTCCCTCTTTCTCCCTTACTTCTCCTCTCTCTAAATATAAATAAATAAAAATTAAAAAATAAAAAATAATTAAAATCCAAAATTCACCTTTCCTCATTTTTTGCCCTCTCAATCTTAGTCAAGAGAGAGTAGACATGGGCTTGGGTTCTCTTGGCAGCAGCACTGGAAATGAATGAGCTTCCTTCAAGAACTGAAAATTAGAATTTGTCTTCATGACCCCTACTTTATAAAAAGTTAAAGAATTCCTAAAATATACCAGATTATAAGAGTTCTAGCTCAGTAATTGTACAATTGGAAAGCAAGCTAATGACTACAGCATAATGCAGTTACCACAGGAAAGTTATGCTCCCAGATCATACCCCTAAAAAGGCCCAAAACTATATCAATGGTATCCAAATTGAGGTGAATAGATGGAGGTAATATGAGTTTTTGTCTCACCAAGATTCATTAATTCATATCACAAATAATTATTGAATACCTACTATGTTTCAGGAGGTATTCTAGCAGTAAACTAAATAGACAAGAGTAGACCTTGCTGTCATGGAGCAAAATTGCATACTATTGGGGAAGATTTTCTTTAAATGGGATAGGTAATTAAATACGTAAAATATTATAGACATGGTAAGGAGAAAAATAAATAAAAGAAAAGGTTCTAACATGTTGGGAGTATATCATAATTTTAGCTAGGATAATCATGGAAGGCAATTTTGAATCAAAACTTAGAGGATATTAAAGAGTAAGCCAGAAGGATACCAAGGAGGGAGCAATTGTTTTGCGGTAGAGGAAATAACAAATGCAAAGACTGGAGGCAGGAGTGTTCTGGAGTATTTGAAAACAGCAAAGCAGGCCTGTGTGGCTGGAGTAGAGCAAGCTAAGTGGAAAATGGTAAGGGATGAGATCAGAGGGACACAGAGGGACATGCCATGAGGAGCCTTGTTAGCATTCACTCTGATGAGCTGGGAAGCCAATGGAGGGTTCCGAGCAGATTACCCACCTAAACCGACAAGATCACATTGGATGCTGTGTTGAGATGAGACTGTGAGGGGCGAAGCAGAGAAACAGGAAGATCATTTAAAAGGCCATTGCAGCAATCTATAGAAGAAATGATAGCAGTGAGAGGGGGTGACAAATTGTTGAGTTTCTGTATTTGGTTCGATGGAGTCTAGAAATTGTGAGTTTAACTCAATTCAGAGAAACCACCCATCAAGAAGTTAATCTCTCACTTCCAATCTGGGAGGAAGAGCCATCCCTGCATACTATTTTCTCTCTCAGGGAGTGGCATCTGTGACACTCCTGGCTTCTAAAAACATTTGAAAATCTTCACTGGCAGCCCCAGTCAATAGGCTTTACTTGAAAGACCTTTCCTTCCTACCGTCTTCAAAATCTCTTCATTTCCCTTTCCCTTTGAGTCCCATGTTTCTAGCAATCCTTGCCGAAAAGAATGGGGCTCAGCCTAGTTCCACAACCTCCAGGGCATCTTATGAGCAGCTCTTAAATCCTGAGCCACAGCAGTTGTTGCCTTTACTTCTTACCATGGCTACGACACCTTCTCCTATGGCTGACTTCCTCCTGCTTCCTACAGTTGTTTCAACAGGATATCACCCTCAGCAAAGACCTGAATTAAAGCTGCTTTTGGAACCTGTGCCCACTATGGGCCTGATAATGCTCAAGTCCTTGTCTTTCACTTTCAATGTCATAGCCTTGAGTAGCACTTCTCTCAGCTACAACTTTGTCTGCAGCAAGAGATTAGGCCCCTAGTGTTGTATTTCCTTCCTCTGTTCCACTGCTACATTTTTTTTGCTTCTATTTGTTTTTTTTTAATTACTTTATTATTGTTCAATTACAGTTGTCTGCATTCCCCCACCACCACTACCCCCCACCACTGCTATTTTTCAGAAAGACTCACATGAGTTTATAATAGTTCAACTTGTTTTTTAGATTGCTCCATTTCTTTGTCTGTGGTAAGTCTAGTACTGTTTGCTGGATTCAAGCATCAGCTTTCTTTTGCTTTTTCATACCCTTTCACTTTGTCTCTCTTTTTGTTTCCAGCCAAGACCTACATTTTTCTTATGTACCTCTCTAAATTTTGTTTTGTGGGGTCTCCCATAGTGAAATATATGAAATCTATGCATTTTGTCTTTGCCAAAAAACAAAGAAATTCTCACCTCCATTTTTTTGAGCTGCATAATATTCCCAGGAGATAGTCTCCTAGTAGATCAACATCCAGTCAGGTCCTGTACTTGACTTACTGCCTTTTCCCAGTCTTGCAGGGGCAGGACCTTTGCCACTTAGCCGCTGGCCTCGCTGAGAGCAGACTAACACACATGCCTCTTGCAGGCTGAAATATCTGAAGGAGAATGGAGAACAGAAAAGGAACATCGGTTACACATGACCTTTATCATGTGCCCTGGTCCTCACCCCAAACTTACCAAAGTTGCTCCTCACTCTTCTCAGAAGGAGTAAGAGTACACAGACCAGGAAGATAAGTCCCGTATAGGAGGAAATACTAGAGTGGGGTGTGTTTCCCCATATAAGTATGTAAAATACTTAGCACAGTACCTGAATAGAGGTTAGTCCTCAATAAATGTTGACTATTTTAAGTAGGTAAAGAACTGAAAAATTAAGATGAAAATTATATTCCAGTTTACTATTAATAGGACTTGCTAAAGAAAAAGTATGTATGATAGAAGCAGGACAACCAAGCAAATCTCTAAGTTTTTAAGAATAAACCCCTCCATATTAAACTGTCCTTTCAGTGATCATCCATGAATACAACCTGCCTCAGCCCTAACTGGCGAGGCTCAGTGGTTTGGGCGTTGTCCTGCAAACTGAAAGGTCGCACGTTGATTCCTGGTCAGGGCACATGCCTGGGTTGCAGGCCAGGTCCCCGGACAGGGGTGTTTGAGAAGCAACCGACTGATGTTTCTCTTGTACGTAGATGTTTCTCTCCCTCTCTTTCTCCCTCTTCTCCTCTCTCTAAAAACTAACTAACTAAATAAATACAACCTGTTTCAGACATGGAAACAGCTTCAGACAAATGAACATGTTTATTAAATACATCAAGTGTAAATTTTTTTAACTTGGATCTTAGGACAACAGAATTGGATTAACCCTAATCTCCATTTATGGCACACTCTCCTCATTGGTTCCTCCCTCCCACTCCCTCCCTCCTTTCTTGCCCTGCCTTCTTCTAACTTGCTCCCTCTCCTAGAGAATCTTACAACATCAACATCTTGTTCTGAGTGGAAAAGAACCTTAGGATTCTCCTGCCCATTTCCTCCTTCCCCCTCCCAGGCAACTGTCCTTACTTGTTGGGCTGAGTTTGAAATTTGAATAACCACTGAAAGTGACAGACTTGCCACATCTGGAGAAAAAAACCCCTGCTGTTTTTTTTGGTTTCTCCCAGAATTCCAAGTGTATCCCAAAAGCTCAAAGGAAGGGCGTGGTTTTGACTCAAACTTTGCCCTGTTTGCCAACCTCAGGGAGTCTGGGCTGAGTTAGGGGGAATGTAACAGAACCTGACAATAGACAAGTCTAATGTGGTTTGGAGTTTTATTATGAAACTTCTGTGTAGTTCTGCTTTTCACCCAGTTGTGTCATAAGAAAACAACCAAAACATTCATTTCAGTTTTGCTAACCAATTTTTGGAATAACACAAATGCATATTCAATATTAAATATTCTGTATTGTAACTAGTAAGTTACCTTAAGATGTTGAAAATGTATTGTGTACTGATTCACAAGTCAGTTTTAAACTAGTTCCGTATTTTCCTTTAATTATAAGTATGATCATATATATAACATACACACAATATCACAGGTCTATATAAAATATACACCTTAAAAACACAAATATTGGGACTGTTAATTATTTTATTATATAAGCAGTCTATATTCATTAAAGAAAATTGGGTAAAATAAAAAATTGGAAAGAAGGAAAAATTTTATATGGGAGAATTTCTGATTTCATTCCTGACAACTGATATAGTGCTAGGTTCTGAGAAAAACACATAGGTGAGTAGGACATTGACTATACCCTTTAGAAGACAGATACAGATAAAATCCAACTATTTTAAATATTCAATGAAAGGTTATATTTATCAAGCATCTTCAGTATGCCTGGTTCTTCCTGTTACCTTTGACTCAGGCATTTAGAGGTCAGCCCCATTTATCCAGAGATCATATGATCTGTGGGTCCCTGGGCAGTGTTACGATTTAACTCGGGGTCATCCTTTTTAGACCGCATGTATCTGCTGTTCATTCTTTAGAGTGGAGGGAGCTGGAAATAAATCTTTCCACTTGTTGCATGGGCAAGGAAGACTGGGTAGATGAGTGATAAAAGGTGCAGTGTTGATAATATCCATTAAAGACAAAGAAACTACGTTAAAATTGAGGTAGGGAAGGGTCATGGTATGCAGTGTATTAATGACTCATTCCAAACTTTCCAAGAAGGACACCACAGAAGCAGAACATTTTTCTAAAGCTATTTTGAATGAAATTTTGAAAAGACGATTTTAATAAAATAGAGTTTAGTCAGCCATTTTACAATTTTTAACAGGTGTATAGATCATGTATTTTTAAAAATATATTTTTTATTGATTATGCCATTACAGTTGTCCCGATTTTCCCCCCTTTGCCCCCCTCTACCCAGTAAACCCACTCCCTCCAGCAATTAACCCTTTAGTTCATGTCCATGGGTCATGCATGTAAGTTCTTTGGCTACCCCATTACCTATACTGTTCTTAATATCCCTGTCTATTTCGTACCTACTAATTTGTACTTCTTAATCCCTGCACCTTTTCCCTCAGTCTCCCCATTCTCCCCGCCACTGATAACCCTCCAAATGATCTCCTTATCTATGATTCTGTTTCTGTTCTGCTTGTTTGCTTAGTTTGTTTTTTAGATTCAATTGATAGTTATGAATTTATTGCTATTTTAATGTTCATAGTCTTGATCTTTTTCCTTTATTAAGTATATTTTATTGAGTATGCTATTATAGTTGTTTGATTTTTTTCTCTCACTTTTATCCCCTTTTGCCCTGCACTCCCCACTCCCTCCAGGATTCCCCTCTACCCCTTAGTTCATGTCCATGGGTGGTACATATGAGTTCTTTGGCTCCTCCATTTCCTCTACTATTCTTAATGTCACTGTCTATTTTGCACCTACCAATTATGCTTCTGATTACCTGTATCGTTTCTCCCATTTCCCCCCCCGCCGATCTCTGCTGATAACCCTCCATACAATCTACATTCTATTCCTGTTCTAGTTGTTTGCTTTTTTTTTTTTAGGTTCAGTTGTTGATAGTTGTGTTTGTTGTCATTTTACTGTTCATAGTTTTTTTTTAAAGATTTTATTTATTTATTTTTAGAAGTAGGGAAGGGGGGGAAAAGTAGAGGGAGAGGAACATCAATGTGTGGTTGCCACTCATGTGGCCCCCACTGGGGACCTGGCCCACAAGCCCGGCATATACCCTGACTGGGAATCAAACCAGTCACCCTTTGGCTCACAGCCCACGCTCTGTCCATTGAGCTACACCAGCCAGGGCACTGTTTATAGTTTTGATCTTCTTTTTCTTAAATAAGTCTCTTTAACATTTCATATAATAATGGCTTGGTGATGATGAATTCCTTTAGCTTTACCTTGTCTAGGGAGCACTTTATCTGCCCTTCCATTCTAAATGAAAGCTTTGCTGGATAGAGTAATCTAGGTTGTAGGTCCTTGCTTTTCATGACTTTGAATACTTATTGCCTGTCTCTTCCTGCCTGCAAAGTTTCTTTTGAAAACTCAGCTGATAGTCTTGTGTGGATTCCTTTGTAGGTAACTCTACTTTTCTCTTGCTGCCTTTAAGATTCTCTCTTTATCTTTAACCTTTGGCATTTTAATTATGATGTGTCCTGGTGTGGTCCTCTTTATGCCCATCTTGTTTGGGACCCTGTGGTTCCTGTACTTGTATGTCTATTTCCTTCACCAAATTAGAGAAGTGTTCTTTCATTATTTTTTCAAATAAGTTTTCAATTTCTTGCTTTTTCTTACAGATTTGAATGTTGGTATGTTTGAAGTTGTTTCAGTGGCTTCTTACCCTAGCCTCATACTGTTGATTCCTTGTAAATTTTTCTTTATTTCACTCACCGTAGGCTTCATTTCTGCCTGGGTCTTTTTTATGTTGTTGAAGTACCCAGTGAGTTCATTGAGCATCCTAAAAACCATTGCATCTGATAGATCATCTCCATTTTGTTTAGTTCTTTTTCTGGAGTTTTGTTCTGTTCTTCCATTTGGGCCAAATTTCTCTGTCTCCTCATTTTGGCAGCCTCCCTGTGTTTGTTTCTATGTATTAGGTAGAGTTGCTTTGACTCCCTGTCTTAGTAACATGGCCTAATGTAGAAAAGTGCACCTATAAATTGGATGGGGCAGAGCCTTAGGTAATTGACAGAGCATAGCAACCTGTATGAAACAGGTAGATGGAGCTCTGTGGCTCTGTGTGGGAGAAGGCTCAGGAAAAGAACAATGGCTGCTGCCTGGTCTCTGGAGTTTTGTCCAGAAGGAAGCTGTCCCCTGGCATTTACCCTGATGTCAGGCATTTCAGTTTCTCCCCATATGCTGGAGCCCAGAGGAAGTCTGTGTAAGTCCTAAGTCTGCTGTGAGCCCTTTAAGAGGAGAAGCCTGAGAATCCCACAGTTTCTTCCACCACCCCAACCCCCCACTGTGGGGACTTATCTTCCTGGCACTGGAACTCTGGGCTGGGTGGTCTGGTGTGGTGCTGGGATCTCTCACTCCCAAGGTATCCTCTCTTATTTTTATCTACCACACGTGGGTGTGGGACTGCCAGTTTCATGTCTCCAGTCTCCATGTCTCTGCCCTTCCTGCCTCTCTGGATGAATGTGACTTCTTTAATTCCTTGGTTGTCGGACTTCCATACTGATTGATTTTCTGATGATTCTGTGTGATAGTTGTTTTGTAGTGGAGTTGTAGTTTTTCTATGGTTGTATGAGGAGGCAAGCTGTGTTTACCTATGCCTCCATCTTGACTGGAAGTCCACCTTCTCCAAATTGACAAAAGCTTTAAAATATTCATTTCAGCGTTCATGTCTTGATCTCTTCACCTTAGCAGGAAATCTAGGATGCTCCATGAGTGGTGAGAAGGACTCAGGGATATTGCAGGATTGGTTCCAGACCATCTGCTCTTTTATGAGGTTGAAGTTGGCATTCTGCTTACATTCAAGCAGGTACCTTGTACCTCTTTTAGAACTACTGACTTCCTAAAAATGTCAAGAAAATCAGCTTTAAAATTTGAGACTAATGAGTGGCCTCTTTTCTATGCAATATCTTCTTTCCCCTTCCCTGGAGTCAGAAGCCTTGTGTGTCAGCTGGAGTTGGGAGAACGCCAAGTTCACCCTTTGCAAAACAAGAAGCTGATGAGGCAAAATGGGACCCTGCTAGTACCTAGCACAAGTCCAGGTCTACAAGGT